TCCATCTGATAACTTCCATCATTGGTGTTTGATGGGGATCAGCTATCTGCATTTAATTTTAGACAGCCTACACCTGCCAAGCATTAAATGTGACGCCGATGTGCTATGTTAGCGGGAGAGGCTCGAAGCTGAAGTTGTCCTTTACCTTAGCTGAGAAGTAACACCTTTTGAGTCGGCCTCACGAGGCATCGAGTAGCTGGTCGAGTGGGCTCGTTGTGAGTTGTCTTCGACAAGAGGACCGACATGTACAACTATTAGAATCGACCTAAGGAGATGTCGACTCGACCGGTCGGTTACATCAAGATCCTTGGTTGCTTTGATCGTCAATCTGACTTGAGTGATGCATGTAGGGGGGACACATATCTGTTGTTGGCAAATGGCCGTACTTTAGTGACTGAAAATATCATAATAGAACTTTTGAATAAAATTTTTTATATTTGCAAAACAGAAGTGTTATGGTGTTTTTAATTACCAAAGTGCAACTCTTTGCTAGTAACGGACATGTGTACTTCTGTATGCAATGTCCCAATCAAATTGGTGGCCAAAACCAACAAGGGTTCCATCTCAACCGACTCACCGAGTCGACATTCCTTCATGTTGACTCGAATGGCGGTATTAGTCGACCCTCTTGTCGAAGACGATTCACAACGAGCCTACTCGACCTACTATTCAACGCCTCACGATGGTGAATCGAAAGACGTTACTTCTCGACGAAGCTAGAGGATGACTTCAGCCTCGGGCCTCTCCGGTTGACACAATGTCGACGTCGCATTTAATGATTGGCAGGTGCCATCATACCTCTAGCCCCGATAGCCTTCATGACTCATCGGACCACATTGACACTGTCATGCCTTAGATCACTTTACATTTAATGCTAAGGTGATCTCTCCTCTAGTCGTCAGCCGACACCTATAAAGCAGGAGTTGACTCAGCCACCATCCCATACTTCTTCACCGACATCCTGTGCTCGGCCACAATGATGGTTCTACCCTTTCGACACCACTATATATATAGGTACTATTCTAACATAGTAAAGGGTCCAAAATCTAATCTTCTAAAATAGATCTGTAAATTATACCGCACACACAAGAACTCTCACAATTCTTCACTTTCCTCACTCAAGTTCACCAGCCGACTTGACCATAGGAGGAACCACAGGGGAACCAATCCCCATCCTCTCACAGGTTTCTATATGTTCAGACTTCAGCCACTTAACTTAGAACTGGATGAAGGAAGCGACCCCTCATCAACTTCACCCCCATCAAACCACGGATATAGTTGACTGTGTGATCACTTAACATCAACAAGAAGGTATGGTATATAAATGCTACAAATTACAATGGAGGGTATATAAGTGCTAAGGGAGTGAAACTATAAGGTATTTAAGTGTTATTAATACGAGTTGTCGTGCGAGCACCTTTGATCGCGGAATTATCAAAGGTGGGTTGAGAAGAGGATGACAGAAATACAAGCACAATTCAGTATATGGCGAAGAAAATTACCTTCTCTAGATTATGAGTATGAAAAGATTACAATCCCTCTCTCACAATCTCACTAGAATCGAGAACAACCTCTTAATCCTCTCTAAACCCTAATACAAAGATTAGAATCTCTCTTTGAATCTATCTGATTGTTTAGAAATCCTAAAACAATCCTTTATATAGGTGTACAAACGTGGATGACAATCTGGTAAATAACCAAGCCTAAAACCAATAGGAATTCGTATGAACAGAAACCCAAACGAACCAGGAAACCATCGATGAGTCGACTCATGACTGAGATGAGTTGACTCGTCCAAAACTGAACAAAACACAAAAAAACCAGCTATGAGTCGACTCATGACAGTCATGAGTCGACTCAACCTGATGAGTCGACTCATGACTGTTATGAGTCGACTCACGGGCTGAAAACTGGATACTTCGATTCTGCTGCTCGTCGTCTCGTTCCACGCTTCCACCTGTATTCCACTGTACTGTTTTACACCCATATTCTCATACTATCATGAGAATTATCTATCCTCAAACTCCCATGAGGATCGCTAAGTTCCAAAGAGAAGATACACCTGTATCATGGGTCTCCCCTTTAGGAACTTGAAGTCCCGTTCAAGTTAGAACTTCAGCTGAGGAAACTCTCGAGCTCCTCCCCCTTTTCTGCACCACCTGGCCTTGTTAGGAATCCGGTCTCGACGTCCGATCGGAAACAACTCATTCGTCTCGCGTCTCATCGTAGTCACCGTTCGCTCTAAGTTGCAATCCTTTGTCGATGGTTTTTCTGGAAGTCTAATGCACAGCGAGACAAACTTCTTGCTTGCATTCACTAGTCTCTTCGCTCGCGTCACCGTCCCCAAGCTTGTCTCCTTCGGAAGAGATGCTGAACGAAATCTAAACTTTTCACCATCCTTAGTGAAGGTGTACTTCTGAGCCCGCCTCTCGTAGATCGCATATCTATCCTATAAGTACGGATTGCCCAGTATAATCTGATAAACATCCAATGGAACGACGTCACACGTGACCTCATTAATATACGACTCGTGGAGCGCAAATCTGACAGTGTATTGATCAACTACACTCAGTTTCTCCTCCTTCTGAATCCACCCCAATGGATAGGACTTCGGATGCTTGATCGTCTTCAGACCCAGCTTCTGAACTAATACCTCGGATATCAAATTCTTCTTGCTGTCCGAATCAACAATGACATCAACCAAACTGGTCTTTACTTGCAACTTAAGAACAAAGAGTTGCTCCCTCCGGTCTTCATCCTCTTTCGTGGCCTGTTTCCCCGTCATAAGGTTGAGACTGCTGTTGGGCTCTGTCATCCCCGGGACTTCTTTCGGACCTTGAGCTATCATGTATGCTTTTTTCTCCTCCTTCCTCTTTAACCCTCTTGGTTTCAGATGAGGATACTTCTCCCAGCATCGATCAGCTTCGTGCCCTGTCTTCTCGCAGTGACTACAAATCAGCCCTGCCTTCCCTGGATCACCCTTCTTCTTCTCCTCCTTAGATTGAGAACCGCTAGACTCGCCTCCCGTCTGTTTGGAGTCTCCCTTAGCCTCGTTGTCCTTCTTTTGCTTGCCCTCGAGGGCAATAGCCATCACGCTCGCCTCTGCAATTGATTCCACCGTGAATAGCTTCATCTCCTTTCGGATGTAATCGCTCAATCCATCCATATACTTCATAAACACGGAATATTCCTCTGTCGTAATGTTGAGGATCATCGCCTGCTACTGGAACTCCGTGGTGTATTCTTGAACGGTTTGATTGACCCTTTGGCGCAAGCCATACCACTTGTACCAACGCTCTTCAAGGAATCCCACCGGGTAGAACTGCTTCCTCAGTAGCTCATTGAACTTGTTCCACGACACCTCCTTCTTCTCCTGCTTGTAGTAGGATTTTCACCACGTCAACGCGTGCCCTGAAAGCTTCAAAGTCGCGAACACAATCTTCTCTTTCGACGAATAGCCATAAAGAGTAAAATACGTCTCCATCCGCTCGATCCAGTCATCAAGCCTCTTGACGTCAATACTCCCATTATAAACAGGAATCTCCACCTTGAAGTCAATCTTCAGGTTCTTATAAGAATTCTTACCCCCTTGATGCCATGCAGCCTTAACGGTCTCCTCCTCCTCGTCGGAATCTGAATCACTCTCTCCACATCGGACTCAACAATTTTCTTCAAAGAAGATTCACCTTGTTTGTCACCTCTATGGATAAGACTGACGAGTTGTGTGAGAGTCGAACCTATCGTCTTGATCTGCTTTTCCAATGCATCAATCCTCGCTGAATTGTCTCCTTCAGCCATCTTCTTCCTCCTTAAAACCTGGACTCCTTCCAATGAAATAAGGATCTCGTCAAGTTTCTTGTATTAGGATCGAGTAAGGATCATACACATGATGCCCCTTCACCGGATCTGATGCTCTGATACCAACTTGATACGAGTTGCCGTGCGAGCACCTTTGATCGCAGAATTATCAAAGGTGGGTTGAGAAGAGGATGACAGAAACACAAGCACAATTCAGTATATGGCGAAGGAAATTACCTTCTCTAGATTATGAGTATGAAAAGATTACAATCCCTCTCTCACAATCTCACTAGAATCAAGAACAATCTCTCAATCCTCTCTAAACCCTAATACAAAGATTAGAATCTCTCTTTGAATCCATCTGATTGTTTAGAAACCCTAAAACAATCCTTTATATAGGTGTACAAACGTGGATGGTAATCTGGTAAATAATGAAGCCCAAAACCAATAGGAATTCGTGTGAACAGAAACCCAAACGAACCAGGAAACATCGATGAGTCGACTCATGACTGAGATGAGTCGACTCGTCCGAAACTGAACAAAACACAAAAAAAACCAGCGATGAGTCGACTCATGACAGTCATGAGTCGACTGAACCTGATGAGTCGACTCATGACTGTTATGAGTCGACTCACGGGCTGAAAACTGGATACTTCGATTCTGCTGCTCGTCGTCTCGTTCCACGCTTCCACCTGCATTCCACTGTACTGTTTTACACCCCTATTCTCATGCTATCATGAGAATCATCTATCCTCAAACTTCAATGAGTATCGCTAAGTTTCGAAGAGAAGATACATCTGTATCAGTTATTTAGCCATTAATTAATAATACACAGATATATATATCATTACCATAGTACGGAGAACATTTTTCAATTGTGCTTTTAACCATTTACGATATGACTGTTATTTGTCTAGCCTTAAGGGAAAGTTGGGAATAAATGTAATTAGTCTAGTAGAAATCTGTGACAAATCAACTTTTACCATAATACTAGTTAACGGTTATGATGTCTAAATTTTTCACTGACAAGATTGGTAGCAGAGAAGGATCCGAATCCATCTTCTAATCAGCAAACAGGATATTCATCCTAAATTTTGCTCATGTAGAGATTTTTATTTTTATTTTTATTTTTCTTCATCTCGGGCAGGCCTTGCAATAGCGTTAATACCATGCGAATGTTCATGTATTTGTTGATACACAAATTGAATTTCAAGACGGCATATATATGTATAGATTTCCAAACACCTCATCACCTATAACAGCTGTGTTTGAGTGACTGACCGACCGACCGACTCGCTTGGGACGTATAACTACAAAGAGGGGGGAAAAACAATCTTTGGACGCATATATATTCAGACAGGGAAAATAAACACCAAACAATCATCTCAGATGTACGTAATCTCAGATGTATGTATGTATGTATATATAGGTTGTGCAAAAGGGACCACATCAAGCAGATGGTGACACCAACAGTACTACTGACTTAAGTCGTTCACCAAAAATCAAGCAGCAGTCGCAGTCACGGTGGCAGGAAGTGGAACGGTGCGATTTGATTTCTTGGGAGAGTAGGAGCAGCAGTAGTCAACAGCATGAAGATCCCTGGGCTGAACATAAACCCGGAGGCCGTTCTTCATGAACAGAGTGAGGGACATCTTCTGCTCCACCCGGTGGCCAGGCACCGCCTCCAGCTGCCGCAGCAGTATGGCCGAAGCGATGGACTTCATCTGCAAGTAGGCCAAGTCCTTCCCCAGGCACGTCCTCGGCCCTGCATTGAACGCAACGAACCTGTACGTGTCCTTGGACGGTTCAAACCGTTCCCCATCCGCCGACAGCCACCTCTCCGGCTTGAACTTGAGGCAGTCCTCGCCCCATATCGATTCCATCCTTCCCACAGAGTAGATGGAGTAGGTGATCGCCGATCCTGCTGGCACCGCGGTGCCATCAGGAAGTACGTCATCTCCGCCACGACATACTTGGAATCCTCTGGCACCGAAGGGTAGAGCCTCAACGTCTCCGCCAGTGCTGCTTTTAGGTACACCAAGCGCTCCAGCTCTTCGAATGCCAGAGGTTCCTCCACCCACCTTTCGGTGTCCGAACCTCGCGTCCCCTTCAGCACCGAGGTGATCTCCCCTACTACCTTCTTCTCGATGTCTGGCCTCTGCATGACGGTCCAGAAGAACCAGCTCAGAGCGACAGAGGACGTGTCGCGCCCCGCCAGCACAAAGTTGAGCGCGATCCACTGCAGCACTGAAGACGGGAAGGCGTTCCCGTTGACGTCCTTCTTCTTCATGAACCTCGAGAGGAGGTCGTCTGAGGGGGTCTCCTTCCGTGCGGTGATGGCCTCGGTCATGTATCTGTCAACAATCTCAAGGCTCCTCTTCAGGCTCTTTTCGGCGCCGAGTCGCAGTGCTTTTTTCAGCCTCCACAGGAAGCTCGGGTAAAGAAAGCGCTGCAATGTGGCCTCCGTTGCTGAATCAAACGCGCTAGCGAAGGGATTGTCAGGGAGGTCGGGAGACAGAGTCTCAGGGTCTTTACCGAACGTCAACCCGCAGATGTTGTCGAAGGTGAGTCGCAGGAGAAGATCCTGGAGGTCGACGGCGGTGCCCGTTCCAGACTTCTCGCAGTGGTCTGCCAGAATTCTCCAGAGCCGGGTCAGCCGTGCCGGTGGTGATTTGGGGAAACGGTTGGCCATCGGGCCATGGCCTGAGCGAAGCGTTCCGTGTATGTGAACTCGAGCGTGCGGATCTTCCTCTGGATGGAGCCACGTCCACCGTCCGAAATTGAAGATGCCTGTCCTAGAGGTGTGGAAGGCGACTGCCACAATGGGACCTTTGGGCGGTAGTTGTCTGAACTGTGTGCGACACGTGTTCAAGTGTTCTAGATTGCAGCGGAACGTCAGGAACCCCGCCGGGCGAAGGAACGGCAGTACGGTGAAGAATGCCAGGTCGGTACGTGCAGCTGCGCAGTAGATCGAGGTTTTCGGCGATCCCAGTCATGATGCGGGCTCGGTTTTTTGGAGATGAGACCAGGCAAGCCTGCCAAGAGACCACATCCTCGAAAAAAACCGGTTTAACTAACGGGTTAAGGACCCAGAACCACATGAGGGAGGCGGATGCAGGCGGCCACAGCCAGCGCGCGCAGCGACACTAGCTGTAGGCTGCCTTCTTGCAGGGCTGGTGTCTGTTGCCCCGCAGTCATGGATTAGTCAATTCCATGACGCTTGCGGCACAAACTCGATTGCGCTCTTCTCTCAAAGGATGCTGGTTAATTTGGAAATAGATCGGGGATTAATCGGATGTTTTGATAAGCTAGCTAGAGAGAGGGAGAGGGAGAGAGAGGGGCTCGCTCCTAGCTAGATGCGTGTTGTGCTATTAATGCTAGCAAGTGTGCTAATTACACACATATATATAAATATATAAACAAATAGTTAAATATGTACACACACACGCAAGCGAAGCGCCCGCACACACTAGCTAATTAGAGGAGACACGCACGCACGCCGAAGCGCTGCAACTATAGTCGGGGTTGTGAGCGCGACGCAACCTGCCGGAAGAGAGGTAGGGACTCGTGGGTAGGGCGAATATTGGGTACCCGGCCCGGCCTCCTGTTCTGGAACAAGAAGTCGCACGCCAATTTCTTTTATTAATATCGGTACCATTAATTACTTTTTGAGTTTTCTTGTGCAGCGCTCCTAATTCTGTTTGAAACAACGCTTTGGTGATTTCTGCAGGTGGTTGCTTTCTGTATGCGTGTGCCGTTTGTGCAGCAGAATATTTCAAGAAGGGCTGTTGGGAAATTATATGCAACTCTCTTATCTACTTATTAATTATCTCCCTTCTCGTCACGTATTATGTCCTCAGGTATATTATCTTAAAAGCATAAGAAACAAAGCGTAGTAGTTGATAATTTATCCTACCATCGCACAACAGGAGACAAAAAGTAGGGAATGCCTAGATACCCGTGATTTCTCATTGCAATTCACACACTTCTTGCTTATGTTTTGCAGTTCTTGCAATCTAGTTATCACTGTTAATCAAGACAGGATGCGCGTACATTTTGTAAATCAAGCGGTGAGTAATATTTATTGAAGATCGATCAACACCTATCTATAAATATGTATATACTCTATTATAGGTTTTATTATTTATTTACCATTTCATTAGCTCTTAACATACAAAAAATTGAGTGGGGCCGGGTATGTGTGGGTGCCCACAAGAAGTTTAAATGAACATATATACACACATATGAAGTGGGCCTATTTGAAATAAGCAGGGGATGAGAGAAGCCAAGCTGTGCTTACGACAGTGAGACCCGCGTTAGGTTGAAAGCCGTTGATCCACTTTGAGAAAAAGGTGACACGTCGGAACTTATGGAATACCAATCTGGGAAAAGATCTGGGCATGCAGGAATCCCCTTGAATTATTAGCATCTAGTTAACGTGAAAAATGAGTGATGGTGGCCACAAATTCAAGCCGGATGCAGCAGCAAAATTGTGTGCTGGATGTATTATTCCTTTTGTTAATTAGGATTTGGTGAGCTCCGCTGTGGAAAAAAATAAAAAATCATACATTAATGACTCCAAAGAAGAGTGAGACTAGTATTAAGTCACAAGTCTCACAAGTCAAAAGTGCTCAGCGATCAGCAGGCGCAGAAAGTTAAAATGGGAGAGAGCTAAATCAAAGGATTGGTTTCGTTTTCCTTTTTACCTTTTCTTCTTCATCTTCATCTTCTTCTTCTTCTTCTTCTTCTTCTTTTTTCCTTTTTTATTACGTTGTGTGCGAACGTGAGACTGCCATTTTTTATAACTGAAAGTTAGAGATGGTGAGCAGACAGAAAAGCACTTGGACTTTGTCCAAGCACAGTGGCGTGCGACGTACCAAATGTTTGTCCTCAGGGGTTCCACATGTGCTATCCACTGTAATTTGCATTGGTCGTTTGTCATCAAATGTTGAAAAAAGTAATATTAATAAGATCATCATCGAAGTAGAATTTCAAACTCTTCAGTCCAAAAAGACTTGTGTTAATATAACAAAAAATTCTAACTACAAATATGAAGCTTAATTTTCTCAGTACATTAATCAATATCAACTCTCGATTATCTTAATAGGTAACTCATGATATTTTTTTTTGAGAAAAAGGATGAATTACTGTTAATCATAACAGTAATTCAACCAGCTAAATTAATAATAAAACTTGGTTGTTACAAACAGATACACACCCCCAACCAAGAGTGTGTACTCTAGTTCAAACAAAAATTACAAATCAAAAGAACTCCTGCTCCACAACATAGGATTATCCTTTCCCAAAGCAAAGAAGAAGCTAGCAACTACTACCAAAACAAAGTAGCAGATCACTGTATCTTTAACCAGAGTTTTAAAACTCAAGAACCAAAAAAACTTTAAGAAACTGGAGTTAAGAATCATTCAAGTTGAATCATTGTACTCGCAATTCCTCCAGCATCGACATGTCCTTCAGCAGCTCTTTTCCTTCTCCTCTCTTGAAGTCTAGCAGCTCGCGCAGTTATAGGTTTAGAACCTAACCAAAATGATGAAAATGTCAAAATTTTGCTCAAAATCTCCATGGATCTCTTCCTTTTGTTAGAAAAGATTCTATCGTTACGTTCCTGCCAAATACACCATATAAGAGAACAGATTGTAACATGTCTTTCCACTTTACTGTTATCATCTTCTCCCATAAACCAATTAATCCAAATCTCTTTTAGGGAGTTCAATCTAAAATCCTTTTCAATCTTCAATTTATATTGGATAGATCTCCAGATAGAGTATACAAACTCACACTCCACAAACAAATGAAAATGACTTTCCACTTCTTTAGAACAGAAGCTGCACATCAAATCCAGATGAATTCCCTTCTTCTCTAAAGTATCTTTTGTATTTAAACCTTGTCTTAATGCCAACCAAACAAGAAATTTCACCTTTAAAGGGACAGGAAGCTGCCAGAGATTTGCACAATCAAATCTTAAACCCCCATCCATAAGAAACTGATAATATGATTTAACTGTGAAACTGCCTTTAGTTCCCCAAAACCATATCCTCCTGTCCTCCCTTTGATCAAAGATTAACTCTCTAATATCATTCAACAATTTGAAATATTGGAAAACCAAATTTCCCCAAAACTCATGATATTGAAAATGGATTTCAAGCTATTAATAGATTGCAAAATAAATAGATCAAGTACGGACTTGATTGACAACTATACTTTTTTAATTTTCCTTATAATCCATATTCTTGCGATTCATTGTAATTATGCTTAGTTCTGTTCCCTTTTTCTAAAGTGCGCTTTCTATCAGAACCTCGCACAGCATCATATGGGTTGAATTATCAAACTGCACCATGCCCCAAAAAGACAAAAAAAAAAAGAAAAAAAAAGAAAAAAAGGAAAGTTAACATGTGGATCAGAATGCCATGCATGGTGCAGGGCGTTCCAGTATGATTTGTACTCATTTTATCTCTTCATTCTTTTTCCCTTACGATTTCTAAGTTTATACATTGGGCTAACATGTGTTATAAGATTTGTAGTGGCCCAGTGTGGACTACTGTTTTTTCAATAGGAATCAAAAGATTTTAATTCATTGCACTTATGAGAATTTATTTACAGATATGATATTGACCATACCAGAAATCAGAAGAAAGGGTACATTTATATCTGTAGGCAAAGTGAGCTAGTTGATGTGCGCAAAGATTACTGCTACGACAGGATATGGAGAACAAATAAGAAATTAAAGTTCTTGAAAAGAGTCCAACATTCTGAGAAGATACTCGAGAGGTTTTGGGGGTGAGTGATGGCTCCATGCGGCATAAGGACTGCATCAAGACAATCTGACTATTGTATAATGTCGTGTTAGCCCGTCGAGATAGCAAGACGAAGACCCATAAGGCACGCAATGAGTTCGGCCTCCAAGGTGGATAAGGGAGCACCAAGGCTACAAAAGGATTGAACGTGTTGGCCGAAGTGATCTCGAGCGATTGATTACTCCCGAAAGCAGAGAGGTAAGAAAAAGAAGAAGCATCTACGTTTATCCTGACAATATTAGGGGAGAGGGTGTTGGTTTTGGAAGTGTGAAGATCTAAACCTGAAGAATAAATCATCAAAGAAGCAGAAAAACCTGTAGGAATCCAAGCACAGAATCAAGCTCTGGCCGGTCGACCGATACGAGGACTCCGATCGACCGAAAACGTGCACAAAGACCCTGTAAAATTGACACTCTGGTCGGTCGAACGAAGCCCTTGGTCCGGTCGCCCGAAGTTGGGATTATCAGTTTCCTAATTGATTTGGGATTCTGTTTTGGGCTGGGTTTATATATATATATATATATA